CAGTTACACAACCAGGAAAACCAATCATACTCTTTCTCGTCAGCTATGAACCTGTTGATTGGATAATCGAAATTCCTGATGCGGTGATAATAGCAAGTCATATTGGTAATTGTGTAATAATAAATTAGTTCAGAGTTTTAAAAACTGGGAAAGAACATGTCGAGTCCTGGACAAGTCAGTCAGCCCACACTGTGCTCCTATGTGGCTGGACTATCGTGTGCGAGTCAGATGGTAGACAGTCATTTTGGGGACGGGGACCAACTCTAACACCTCCTAATGGTTTTGTATTTACGTTGGTGCAGGTTGATACAAATGTAGTTGAAATTTGTTGTTTTGTTTGAAATTTGGCTATGCATTTCCATGGGACATACCTTTCCTTTGTACACTCTTTGATTACTTGACATTTATGGTGTCTAAGGTTCAGGTTCCTACCTGGATACATTCCATTTTGCTGGAGTTAGTCATGGTATTATCCTACTGGGCGGATGATGTGTCACTGAACCTAGCATCTTTTTTTTGTTCAACACTCTGAAACCGTTCGGAGATTCATTAGAATGGAAGCCTCACCCTGTTCAGGTACATTTCAATCACTACTGTACATCAGAGTATTGGTGTTTCGTTGTTGCATTCCTTTCGATCCCAACCTCACAGTACTCTTTAGAGGGGTTTTATGCTTCGGCTCTTTTACCGACCTTTACATCAACATGAAGGCAGGCAAGGTGTTTACTGTTTAATTTATTGCAGTGATTAGGAATGCAATTATTATCTTCATTTCCTGGAATAGACCTACCTCTTCCAACTGTTTTCTTGTAACGACTTGGAAAGGACATGATCATTTGAAATGCGCTTTCCGCTTGTCAGGGCGTTACCTTGGTCGTTAGCATTGATTTGTTCACCCTTTCAGAGTGGCAGGCGCTACCTCTCAATCAGCAGGCGATTCTGTCTTTAACCTTCAGTGTCATGCCATATATGGGTCTTCTTTCAATACTTCAGATTGTTGCGGGTCCATTTATTACAAGGTAGCAGCTCATAACCACCCTAACCGTGCAATTCGATCTTGCTCGTCTATTCAAGCTTTCGTATAATTACTGTAATTCATGTCACACTGTGTCATTTTCGTGTATATATCAACAATAAAGTTATGAAATGTGGTATTTCTTTACAGATTTCCTATTACATCTCTGACACTACATTGCGCTCAGAAGGTGGTGTCATACGAAGTACTGAAAAACTGTCATATAGTAATGAAACGCCTTATGGTTACGGTACTGACACAGGAGGTGGAAATACTGTCAATCTATTGATGTACATTAACAACAGATTTGGACCAGTGACGTCATTTACTGGCACTTACAAAGCTAATGAATGGAGTCTGTCCGTTGGCCAATTGCCACCAGGTGTTCGGTCCGCGCCAGGTAAGCTATATTTTCAGTCTTGAAGAATATTTGTGATACCAACATGTATACACGTCATACACAATACGAATGTCAAGTTGAGTACCACTGCGCATGCGCGAAGTAAATTGCAAGGCTCATTAGAATGTGAATGCATTTGACCTGTCACACTTACATACATGAATCATGTTTATTATACATTGTAATACCCAAGTCACTGCTCAGTAAAACTCGGTCTACTTTCGTTAAATGTAATATATACTACGGTAATCCATTAGGTAAAATTATAATGTCACACTTTGGTACACGGTTGTCTGTGGATGAAAACAAGATATGTTGAATTATATTTCGAAATAGTTTTCCAACATTGCCCCCCACAGATGGCGCGTGACTTGTTACAATATCCAACTACAGTATACAGACTACGGTCATTATTAACATGTTGAATAAAAATGATTACATTTGTTGCAGTGTCAGTTGACAAAAATCAATGGACCTTATATGCATTTGAATATGACGATAGATGGACTGATTGTCATGGTGACCAATATGTACGAATGACGTCTTACGATATCGGTAGATATGTTGGAGTGGTTCTGTGTACTTCCGATAAATATAAAATCCTTTTAGCTGACGACTTAGAAGAAGAATTCCTGTAAGTACGAATTAAAATAGCTGCTATCATAATTACATGGAGGTTGGGCGGAGCGCTGGAACTAAGAGCGGAGGTGCATAAAACATAAGTTACTTCGCCGTATTTAGGATTGTGTAAGCTGAGTTGATCTATTTATTTTATAGGAATATCGGTGATATAAGTGGAACTGGTAAAGATCACTGTGAATTTGTTGGTGGTAATGACGACATTGTTGCTAATGTATTCACCGGTAACATATTTCAGGCTCCCTTGACGCCTGGTGAGTATACACGTAGTAGATAATGATATTACTGTTTATATTTCATAGCCGAGTCGATTAATATGAGGTTATTACGAGAATACCTCAAAGTATGCACGAAGGCAGTACAGCTGCGCGTCGGTCGATGCGCGGCGTACTGTCTGGGTACGTACTGTCCTTCCGAGGATACATCATGGGAATGCCGAAATCCAAAATGTTTAGAACAGAATCAGCGAACTTCTTTGTGTTGAATCCGGTCAAACTCTGGTGGCAGCCATGTTTGTTTTTATTATTAGAGGACGCTTACATGCTTAATCATTCCATTATTATTATTATTAATAGTATTAGTATTAGTAGTATTATTATTACCCGGTAGTATTAGTAGTAATATTATTACCCGGTAGTATTAGTAGTATGCTATATTATTATTAGTATCTGATGTTGTGGTAGGGGCAATTATTTATTAATTATTTATTTTCATATAATATTTGTTTTCAAACCATCTTAAATATTTCACACATAGATGTCTCTTCGGATCACATGAATGGTGTTTTATCCACATGAATATTTATGATAAACGTATAGACATGTGCCATATACTCTTTCTATTGTATTGCAGGTTTCTATCGTAGTGAACGAGGAGAAACGCCAACGTACGGATTTATTGGCGGGGGTGTTGCTACTACTTGGACTGGCAGGCATTCTGCAAGAGCCTATGAATGCGGAGTATCTATACCATGACGAAATTCCAGTTTTTACAGATGTGATGTTTTCTATATTGATCACCCATCACAATTTGTAGTTGTCAAGGAAACGTGAACAAAAAGCCCAGGACAGAATGGCGCTGTAATAATTAATCACTTCCTCAGTTATTATTTTAATAAAAAAATATTATTTTTTCGGCACCAAATACTTTTCTATTGCATATAGATAATCATGTATGTTTCACAATTATCGTAATAAATATTCCGTTACTTAACCATAAATGCTAGCATGTATATTTCATAAGAGCGTGTCACATAAAACGTCAACATGGTAATCATTGCGTCACACATACATTGTATCATAATGCGATAGTTGTTACTGAACAAATAAGTGAATACACAACCAAATAATGCATTAACACAAATAATCGTTTTTCACAAAAAAACACCGTAGGAATTACAATATTTACGATGATATTTGTATAATAAGCCAATAAATTATAGGCGTTTTGTGTAGAACAGTCCACAAATTGGTCAGATTATTTAATACAATTGCTGGTAATCTGATTGGTCCATGAAATAGCGTAAGATTGGCCTTACGAAATTATGAATAATTCTAATCCTATTAGACTACGCTAAGATGTCAATCTGGTGGTGGTTTTACCCTATACATTAGAGTAAATGGAATATTTTCAGTTAAAAAGTTAAGCATCATTTCTAACTCAAATTCTTTCAACCTCAAACTGACTTCACCCACATTGTATACCCATGTCTCACGTGATATGTAAAAACCATGAATTACATCAACCATTAACCATAGACCCTTTGTTGAGGGTCTGTGCATTAACAAATAAAATCCGTAAATATTAATGGCCAAAACAACACGTGTTTTAAACTGGCGGTATTAGGTTTTCATGGGACGGTGTTTATGTGAACATTTATAGAAACGATCAGCCTTGTGCACGTGCTCACCAGTTATGTTTTCGACGTTAATTAAAGCGGGAGGGTCGTCACCTGTGCACGCGCGGGAATTGAGTCCCGAGCGACGATAACAACACACGCTAAAAACAAAACAATTGTAAACAATGACACGCTTTGGCCACCCCAGTCTGACGCATGCGCAGGTGACGACTCCCCCCGCTTTAACTTATTAACTTATTGAAATGCTTGTATAGGATGCACAGGATACTAAATTAATTTCTCATAAAAATTTCTTTTTGTAAGCTCAGAACATATGAAAGCTATTACACTCATCTAATAAATCCGACAATGTATATCCGACGTCCCACTGACGTTTGACAACAAGTTATCGAACACAACCATGCCAGGTTACGAAGAAAACCCACAACGTAAACAATTTCTGTATTGATGTAACAAAGTATATCACGGCGACGTTTACTCATAATGTTGGAATTTCCACTCGATGTGATGTCACAGAGATTGTCTGGCAGTAATCACCTTACCACCATATGCAAAACACGTATATTTTTGTCATTTATTTGGTTATTGTGATATACGGGTACTACAACCCTTATATTTTATGTACTTTCTATTTATGTAATCACGTCATCTGTGCTCGCTGAGTAATGTGATTATACATACTTCTAGATTTGAACAGTCGATTTACAGCGTTAACATGTTTGAGGCAGCAACATCGCACTTTGTTGACGTGGTAGGACGCGACACGTTACAGCCACCGCCATCATTGGAAGCGGCAATACATTGTAAACCATTGTCATTGGTTGTGAAGCAGCAACCAAAATGGCCATGGCAGACACCGGTACTGGAACCACAGCCATTTAAACTCACTGAAGTGCTGCTCAGGGATAGACCTGTGACAGAGAAAGAAGACAAACTACCTGTTTTACGACTTGAAACTAAACAAATGACGGAATTCAGGAATGATATCAGCTTAACAGTGAAGGGAAAACTGGGATTTGAGATTGCGAATACGTTTAATCTCGAGTTGGAAGGCAGCAATACGATCAACGTGCATGTGAATTTCGGCGTCGTTAAAAGGACAGATGTCGATGTTCCTACACTGGCTGAAGCTCTGACTGGCGTGTAAGTGTTCAGCATAATTTATTATAATGAGTTTATTTTGGTCAGTCTTGTGTGCACGCAGATTTTTTTAGACGATTGTTCTACTAAATGATTGTCATTGTGTTTGGCAACAAATTGTGCAATTAGTATTGTCAGGTTGAACTTGATTTCATCTTTGTGTTGTGTGTTTAAGATGCGTGGATATAATTTATATTGTCTGTTTTTTTATATATCCTCCACATTTGGTTGCCACAAATGCACTTTTTACGCAATTGTTTACCCCTAATTTCCTTGTTCTGTTCATGTTCAAATTGCCATAGTAACGCAATGACCTTCGTCAACGTGACAAATACTTCAAGTTTATATAAAGTAAAATACATTTCGAAATAAAATTATTTATTACGTATGAGTAGCTTGGTAGGTTACCTTGCTGTCTGCACTGGTTAGATACCTGACAGGATTAACACATTGGTTGTTGGTACACAGATTTATCCTCGAAGCTAATCGTACCTAAATATGTTCATTTTGAACGAGGAATACATGGCGATACACACTGTTTGTGATGTCAGACATTCAGCTTGAGCATTGTGAGTTATCTTGTATTGCAGTGTTTATTACAGGCAATTTCCAATTGATTCTTGTTGGTTGGGGGGGGGGGGGTAGTAAGAGTGGCTTGGTAGGTAACGCTTGTGCCGAGACGTTCTACCGTGGTCGAATCAATTTGATACCATTTCCACTGTATACTTGCATAGTGTTTGCTCATTGTTGGTGATATATAAAAAAACTTCTGTTGTTTGTTTATATATATCCCTTATACTGTAAAGCACGTCTTTTTTTAGCTAATTTAATTTCGCTAATTCAAAATGTCGCTAATTTAGATTAAAGTATATTCTCACAATGAGATTATTGGTATTTTAGCTAAATTAAGATTTATTCAATTCAAATTTGCTTTATGGCGTTTAATAATGTATTATATTTCTATTCAGCTATCTAGATGCCGATAATGCATTTGTTAAATGGTGGCGAAAAAAGAAAAAGAAACAGACATTATGTCTTATTGTTGGTGTGTTTTTCACAGCAACCGATTCGAGACTTACTGTTACTACACAGAGAAGTGCGACAGAAAAAGCGGGAATATCGCTGCCGAATATGCCTGTTGTAAGTATAAAATGTTGGTGTGTTTTTTACTGCAACATATTCAAATATTCACTGTATGCATTGGCCAAGCGTGACCCATGATCAGTGTGTCCCTAGTTTAAATCCCACATGGGGATTGAACACCAAAACGCGGGTTGAATATGGCACATAATGTCATAGGCGAGATTTATGCGCGTTGTGGCAAAAATTGGATATGGTCTTCACGTATTTGACTCCATTCGACACTTGTATGTATGTGTGTTCATGGTTTACATTTGTGAATGTCATGACTACTAAACCTGTTAATTCCAGTAATGATATTTTGTATTAATTCAAATCAAATAATGCTCACAGTTTCGTCAAATCATATATCAAATGTTCTTATTTTCGCGCAGAATATTTTTTTGGACTCGTATTTTTACCGACATGCAGATTATGTTTTACTGGCGTTTATCTGTCTGTCTTAACTCAAAACGTTATGAATGGACTCTCTCCCTTGACTCAAAGACAATCCTTATGTGATGATGTATGCCCGGTTGCCATGGGAACAGTAAATATGAGAATGACTTTTATAACTAGAAAACTTAGATAGACTAACGTATAACTTTTAGCAGAGATTGCCCTTCACAACTTGGCCAATCGATTAGAATTGTTTAGAGATTGTATCTGGTTCCAATGAAAAAATATTTGATTTATAACTCAAAAGTTTATTGACGTATCATCATGACATTACCAAGATGCATTGTCAATGTATTAGATGTTGGGGGGAGAGCTTGATCTGGTAGCCATAGAAACGACAATTTTGCGAATGATTCACATTTATAACTGAAATGGATTTGCACAAATGCCATGTCACTTTCAAAAAGATTACAAAAAACAAGTACCAATCGGTTGGAGGTTGATTGAGATCTGGATTTTCAATGACTATTTATTGCCAGATAACTCAACAAGTTGTTCTTCAAACATAAACCAATCAAATAGATGTTGGAGACATTTTTAAGGACTTTTCGACATTTGCTGCATAGTGCCTTTGTTTAATATGTTGAGCAAATAAACCATTCAAGACTCGGTTAACTCGGTCTTTCTTTTAAAAAAATAATATAACAATAAATTAGAATCTTATGCCAATATTATAAGTGTGTTTTGTCATAAGTCATAATACAATATTCATATCATTGATTTAGAAATATTAGACAATGTTATTTCATATATCAAGGTAAAACATCTCCTTAAATTACAAAGCAACAGATCTTACCTTTAATAAAAACACAAATTCAAAAATGCTGACCGATTGCGGTTTTCTCCACCGCATAATAATGGTAAACAGGTATAAGCGGAGATTGATTATGAACACCAATATTTCACATAACTTTGGTTCATTTAATCAACACTTTTCATGACATTAGATAGACATAAAATGAGTTGGATAAATTATATGATACTTGTTGTAACATTGCTTTGATGAGCTTAACCGAGTTAAACCAAGTCGCTCACATGTAGACATTTCAAAAGGAAGAGCTTTGTCAATACTGGGAGGTCGAGCGATATGTTGTCTATCCCAAAAAAAAAAAAAACAAACGATTTTTAATTTCTTTGACATACAACTACGTTACTATAAAAATAAGGTATCAATAAATTGACTTTTGAGAATAACAATTTGGCAATCCTAATGCTTTCCGATCTAATTGAATCCATTGGACCCCTCAATAACCAGATTCCTATGGAAGTGTACGCTACTAACAATGATATTGAGGCGGGTTTGTTATTTTCGAAATATAAGTGAAATTGAACTTGAGGTTACAGTTAATTCAATTGAACATGTAGTTGTTAATGACCCACACTATGTTATTATGAGCATAGATACATAGATTACATTACATCATATTAATATACATCTGTCACCGTAATTTTGCGGTATTTTACGGGGTATTTTCATCCTACCATATAAGGAAACGAGAATTCCAAATATGGAACGACCACGCGCGTGAGCGTCCTCTAATAATAAAAAAAAACATGGCTGCCCCGACGGTTTGACCGGATTCCACACAAAGAAGTTCGCTGATTCTGTTCTAATATAAACTTTTTGAATTTAGGCATTTCCATGATGTATCATTGAGAGGAAAAGTATGCACTCAGACAGTACGCCGTCGCTTCGACCTCCGCTGCGCATCAGTCGATACTCTCGCTGTACTGTCTCCGTGCATACTTTTCGGTATCCTCGTAATAACCTCATATTACTACCAATTAATTAACACATTGTTTCAATTACAGTTGTCTTTGGGAGAAGAGGTTTCGAAGGAAGACAACCATTTCAACTATTTACTTGTTCCAGCATTCACGACTATTGCGTATAAAGTTTGTGAGTTCAACGTCACCGTTAATGGTGCTCTAGAATTGTCGACGTTTGGAAGTCCTGTGCTCCAATCAGAAGTGGACGGCAGTGTTAATGCCAAAGGTACAACATCCGCAATTTAATAATTCGTACAAACTGTATTAC